CCTCCCTCTCTCTCTCTTTCTCTTTTTTATATACAAATCAGGTAAATAATTTTACGTCGAGATTTTTTACCCAACTTTCAGATTCAATTTTAGAAAAAAAAAACATATTAATAATAATTTTTTTTTTTTTAAACAAAATTATTATTAATAAATCCTTTGAGATACATTTTGTTAAATATTTATTATTAATAAATTGACAAAAATACTTTTTAACCCTTTTAAACCTTATTAAATAAACCTTACGGATTAATAAGTTTTTTCATTTTTTTTTATGACCCGAATAAATTTATTTTAAGTGATTTCATCACTCATTAAAAATAATTAAACAACTTTTTTCTTTTTTCTTTTATAAAATTTAATTAATTAAAAAAAAATTTAAAAATAAATTCATTTTTCGTTGTTGTTGTTGTTTTTAATGGGTACCAACTCGACTTCCATTATTGCCACCGCCTTCTTATATTTTGTTTTGTTATGAATCGTCCTCCCTAATGCAAAATTATTACCCCTAACAAAAAATAAAAGATATTACGTAATTGAATAAAATAAAATTACTCATTGGCCACAGATTAAAGGCTCCCCTCCCCCCCTCTCTCTCTCTCTCTCTCTCTTTTTCTCTCATTAAACTATTTTTAACAAGATTTGAAGGGAAATTAATTGTTCCCTCTTTTCTTTTTTTCGTATTGATTAGTCTCGAATAATTAATATAAGTATGTGATTTAAATATTTACCGACTTTGGACTATTATTATTATTATTATTATTACTTAATGTAATTTTTGTCGACGAAAGAGAAAAAGAAAAGAAGAGAAGAGAAGAAAGGAGAAGAGAAAATTCTTTTAGTTGCAAAAGTTGCTCATTATTTGTACATTCCACGTTTGCGATGAGTGCATAGAAATAACGATGTTCATTAAAATGTTTCTCAATTGACATATAACGAGACAGAGAGAGAGACAGAGAGAGAGAGAGAGAGAGAGAGAGAGAGAGTGATGCTGGGCGTCGGTAATGAATCACATTCTCTTCTCTGTCATTTTCTCATCTTATATTTTTTTTCCTCTCTCTCTCTCTCTCTTTCTCTCTCTTATTCTCCCATCACTCTTTTTCCTTTCTATCATTATATCTCTCCCTTCCTCATTATTTTCTTTGTCTTTACGTGAATCGATGTGGTTTTGAGCATGAATTTATAATTAACGAGTAACAAAAAAAAAAATTTTTTTTAAATTTTTTTTCCCATCGGGTCCATTAACGAAAGAAAATTTTTTTTTTTTTTAATAATAATATTTTTTCTAGTATTAACAAAAAAAAAAAAAAAATTTTTATAAAATTTGAAAATTTTTTTTCAATAATATAAATTTTTTATATTGATTTTTAACGCAACAAAAATTTTATGAGAAATCACGTTAAAACGATTAATTTTTTTTTTTTTTTTTTTGTCAACTTGGATTCGATTTAAAAATTTAAATTTTATTTAAATATACATGTTTTTTTTTTTTTCGAAGAAGAAGAATAATATTTTTTAAACAAAATAAAGAAAATAAATTTTTTTTCGAGAAAGGTAAAAAGAAAGAAAGACGAAGACGACGAAGACGACTAAGAAGAAGAAGAATGTTAAAACACGTCACATTTTCCCTACGTGTCCAATAACCATTTACCAAACTAAGGTCTACGATATCCTT